TGAGACAAGGTACCCACACCTCGAAAAATTGAATTCGTCCTTGGTCGTAGCTTCAAGGAAGCTTAGACGCCATCTCGATCATCACTACCTTTCTGCTGAGGAGCATTTTACATAAGCCCGAGCTGTCAGGGAGGCTGGCAAAATGTGACATTGAGCTAATTGAGCATGATATCACGTACCAGCCATGAATGGCGATAAAGTCACAAGTGCTCACCGACTTCGTCACTAATTTCAATGCAAAAATAATGCCTGAAGTTGAAAGGGAAGCCATCAAAGCTTCCCTCCAAAGACAAGACCTCTGGGTCCTTTAAATCGATGGCACATTCAACACGTCAGGATCAGGACTAGGACTTGTACTCGAGGTCCCAATAGGTGAAGTAATTTTCCAGTCCATAAGGTGCGCGGATATGACTAACAATGAGGCCGAGTATGAGGCCGTGATTGTTGGATTAAGGCTAACACTCAAATACGGGGCAAAACAGTTGAAACTCCATTGTGACTCCCAACTTGTAGTTAACCAAGTCACAAGTATTTCTCAAATCAGGTAAAAAAGATTGCAAAAATATCAGACAGAAATCTGCAAGTTGTTGCCTCAGTTTGATGAATTCCAGCTCGACCAAATCCCACGAGCATGGCATGCTGAAGCAGACGGTACAAGGGAGAAGATGAAGGGTCTGTGAAGTCTTCATAGCTAAAGAAGGAGGAGGCAAAGTCTTGGCTGCATGAGAAAGGGATGAGAAATCAATATCCACGATCGGGCATAAGAGAAAAATCAAATACCTACAATAAGATTAAGTACTTACGAGTATAATTCCAAACTTTTGGAAAACCATCGTCATTGGCCACCACGTCCTCGGTTTTGACGAAGAAGAAGTTGAACCAGAATTTGCGGCTAGCTTTGTCGTCTATCTTCACTACCAAGCACTTGCCTCCTCGGGTGGCGAAGATTTAACATAGTCCATTATAAAAGCTAGGGGCGATGATATGTACCAAATGTGAAGCGTCAGTTCGACCCCGACTAGCTCGGTAAATTTGGTGATCATCCGTATAAGTTTATAAACGTACCACGCTAGTTAAACCGAGCAAACACTGTAGTCCTGTCTTCATGACCACGACCCCTGCCAAGTATGAATGACACTGTCGCTGACCGACCTCGTCCGTGGGCACGACCTCGATAAGTAGAGGGGCTATCTGTATGGATCAAAATCTGGTGTGATCGAAATATTGCTAGTGAAATATTCTTGCGATGCCGTATGTCAAAATGATCTGATTATCATAGAATTCCATGGTCGAAGACTTAGCGAGACGTGGTGAAAGAGCCAAAGTAAGCCGTAGTCAAAATATCACAGGGATGAGGTAGAGGTCATGTATCGTTGACAAAGCTGTAACGGTTAGTATTCAAGATAGGATTCTCTATATTTGTACTATTAGGGTTTCTTAGGAATATGTCCCATGTATATAGAAAAAGAGACAATGATATGGGCATGTGATATTCATTTGTAAAGAACACACTTCGACATATTAATTTGTAAAGAACAGACTTCGACTAAAAATTCATCTCTCTCTCTCTCTCTTGCTAAGATACAAACACCACATTTTCACTAAGATTCTTGTCCATACTTTTCCATCAGATTCGAGAATAACTTGAATATTCAAGGATTTGTCTATTTTTCATCATTGTCAGGAGGAACATCAGCATATTGGCGAAATACATAAACGGCCCCTTTAAGTTATCCTCAACGACCAACCAGACACCTCAACTGACCCATTTATCATTTTAACACTTCACGTGGCTATTAAGTGTATCTCGTAGACACTTCACGCTGACATGTAAGATACGTGTATTTTAGTTACATTTGGGCGCGTGAGTTTTTCAGCAGACTTCTTCTTTCTTGCTTTTAGAATAGAATTAAAATTTGTAAGTGGGTCCCACGGTATATTATCATTTTACAATATCAAAATAGTTTTTGGGCATTGATCTGAAACCCAAATTATGCCCTTTCGTTGTCCCCACTCCCCACCATCTAGGTTCGCCGGAAACCACTCGTTGGGCTTGGGTAGGAGGCCGTATATGGGTTTGATTTGGAGAGACACAAGGAATTTAATAATTAAACTTCTCTGTTTCTGTGTGTGTTTAAGTGAAAGAGAAAGAAAATAGAGATGCAAAGAGCAAAGGGCCAAGAAAGAGAGAAGAGACTGACAGAAGATTGTATGTAAGTCACAGGGGAAGAAGAAAGGGTGAAGGACTGAATTTTCTGGCACCACTAAGTTGCTGGGAAATACGTGATATTTTTTTTGGGGGTGGGGGGTGGGGGGAGGAGGAGAGGTAAAGGAAGAAGATGAATTGGAAGAGGCTGTCAGTGTGTTCAATGGTTAAAAAAGGGTTTTGGCTTTTTCTTTTCTTTAATTTTTTTGTTAATTATGGTTGTCAACTTTTTTATTACAATATACATGTGTCATTCTTTAATTGGTTCATTTGACATGTCACTAGCGAGTGTAATTCACGCATATAGTTTGCCTGATTCGGATGTTCACGAGATACACTTAATAGCCGCGTGAAGTGTTAAAATGATAAATGGGTCAGTTGAGGTGTCTGGTTGGTCGTTGAGGACAACTTAAAGGGGCCGTTTATGTATTTCGCCCAGCATATTCCATCCTTTACTGGGTGAATTGTTCCTCATATTTACTTAAATGCCATTTATTGATATTCATTATTATTGAGTGCTACATTATTGCTCTTGCATTTGCTTTCTAGAACAGTTATTACTTCGCTAATAGAAATCCGATAATTAGAGACCAAAAAAAACCGACCAACTTTGGTCGGTTATGGCCAATTACCGACCAAATACGCTTGGACTGTATTTTGGTGGTCGCTTTAGTATACCGATCAAAGTTGGTCGGAAATTATCGACCAACGTTGGTCGGTAAATTAAATTCAAAAAAAATGTATTGCAAAAAAAAAAAAAAAAACCGACCAAAGTTGGTCGGTTTTTTAATTATGTAATCAAAAGATTCACCGTCTAGGAATCGAACCGGGGAGTGTACTATGGCAGGATACTATTCTACCACTAGACCATTGGTGCATTTTGTTTTAAGATTGTCTTTTTTATTTATTTATACTCTTTAATTGTATTTTCGCACGAAAATAACCGATCAAAGTTGGCCGGTTTTATTAAAAAATAAAATTACCGACCAACGTTGGTCGATTTTTTAAAATGACCGGCCGAATTTACCGACCAAATTTCGTCGGTTTTTTTAATATTAATTTTTATTTATTTCAATTGATAAAATCGATCAAAGTTGGTCGGTTTCTTGAAAAGTATATTTCGCGGGACTCAAAAATAGTTTCCCGCATTTTGCGCCAAAGAAAACCAACCAAAGTTGGTCGGTTTAGTAAAAAAAATTAAAAATTAAAATATTTTGAAAAACCTACCAACTTTGGTTGGTTTTTGGCTGGTTTTTTTACCGACCAAAATTGGTCCGTTTTCTTGATCAGTTTTTGCCGAATTTTAGTAGTGCTTGTTATTGCAATTGTCTGGCCGAATCCATCTAATATTTATTGCTTATTTTGAAATACGGAATATTATTATTAACTAAGATTAACAGTTAATTATATAAATTCAATTATTTGAACCACGATATATATTTTTTGGTCAAACAAATACTTTGAAAGAGTTCGTGAAAATCTTTAAAACGTGACTTAAAAGAGCTACATTTTAGCCACTTACACCACCGGCTTAATTCCGCTTTGGGTCACCCCTGACTCACTTTCATAATACAGTACGTAGTTGAAATTTCCCACATAAAAAGAACATTCTTGACGTGTGCAGTTTAATGATTGAAAGAGCCAATAGTCATTGACAATTATGCCGCTTGTCGTTTACTTATTTCAATGTGCTACGAGTATTTTTAGACTAGATTCTCTTGAAGGGTAATAATTTTATTTATTCTTTTTTGTAAGTAGAGTAGATCAAGAAATGGATGATGAAAATAATAAAGAACTAGACCTTAGTTGAGATGAATTTTGAATTGTTATAGATGAATGTTCTAGGAATCTTTTGTTACCAACATTTTTGAAACTTATTTACTCTCTTGAAATGTACTAAACTTATGCACTTGGGATAGAATATTTGCTTTATAGATATTATTTGCTTGATGGATGATTTTAGATTATTAATAGTTTCATTTTATGATGTATTTGAATTTTAGTGTTATTATAATTTATTATATATATAAATATTTATTAAAAATAGGTGCTATATTTTGGTTTTAACTGAACTGATACAATAGCCTACCAGAACCGTTGCAATAGGACACAAATGGCGTTCCAGTAGACAATGTAAACCGTTGCAATAGGTCCTATAAACTGTTCCAAAATGATCGATAAACCGTTCTGAATACAAATATAACCGTTCCGATAGCTTAAAGAAACCGTTGTTATAGCCAACATAACTGTAGCAATAGCTTACATAAGTGTTGCTTTACGTAATATGGTAACGGTAAAGAACTGTTGTATAAACAATGTAGTAACGATTTTAAACGTTTCCAATTGAAAAGAATAGCCGTTCCAATAGACCTATGGACACTCCGGCTGATGTAACGGGCTGTAAACCGTTCCAATATCTCTATGGCAACGGTTTGACAGTCTGTACGAACGATTTTTCAAGCGTTACCGTAGATCAATTTTTCAGCCGTGGCTCTATACGGATGATATTAAAATACAGTAGTTTTGAGATGATTATTGCTAGACACCACATTTTTAACTTGCACTTTGTATGATATGAAAGAGTTTTCTGGTTCCTTAATTATCTTCAGCCCAGAATATTATATGAATACGATTTTATTTACAATATATAGACAAATGGCATTGATTAACGTGTAAAACATGCACGAGAGATACGATTTCATGATACACGACACTTCATTTTTGAAAGCAAAAGGAGCTCACAAAATTGGCATTAGACCTTCGCTAAAGGCTATAAATATGCCCCTAATTAGATGAGCAAAGAACTACAAATAAACACAACTTCCCCCACTTCAAGTTTCAAGATAAAGCATTGTCAATGGCTGGAACTAAATTTGCTTTCTTTTTTGCTGCTCTCCTCTTGGCGATTGTTGGTTAGTAGATGCATTCCCCTCTTCCTAGCTCTCTATCTCTTTGTATATCAACTCTCTCCATTTCAATTTATATGGCACAATTTCATTTTTAGTATGTTACAAAAGAAAGACACAATTTTATTACAAAAGTCTTTATTTATTTTTGTTAATCTCCGTGTTAAGTCAAAGAAAACCATATAAAATAGGACGGTTGGAGTGTATGCAGTGGCGAGGCAAAAGCTGCGGATTCGCCTGAACTAAATAACTTTTACTCAAAAAATATATTTTGTGTTAAAAATTCATCAGATATATATGTACAGTTATCAAATTCTGAGCAACTGTAAATTTAAAATTCTGGCTCCGCCTTTGAGTGTGCATGTGTGTGTATATATATCATTTTGTATTAGTGTTTAACTCAATGTTGATTGGATCAATATGCAGTTAATCCATCCATGTTAGCTCGCCGAAGATGAAAGTGAAAGCATTGAGAAACTTACCCTTAGATATGGATATGGAAATGGTTGAAAGAAATCTATTGTTCTCAAGACTAAAAGATGATGGTTGGCTAACTTGTAAGAGACCTTGCAACCAGAATAGTGATTGCTCCGACAGTTGGCTTTGCAATTCATGTGGATATCCTGTCGTCGGGCATAGATATATGCAATGCCTCCTTCCTCCAGAATCCTCAAAGTATGCTCAAGTGATTCCAACTGCATTCATCGCGGGAGGTGAAAACCTGAGAGAATAGCTCTAATAAATAAATAAATAAATAAATAGAATTGCATGTGTTTATGTTGCTTTTGATTTACCTACGTTGAGTGAATAAGTGACGACTAAGATTTTACATGTCCCAATATTGGTCGTTTATTTTCTATCATATATGTATGTGCGTACTTACTATACATATTAATCTTGGTGAATGAAATAAGTTATGCAGTTTGTGTATTCTCCCTCTCTTTTAGTACTATTTCTTTTGCTTCATCATTTTTGATAAACGCTTAGAAAAATCTTATCGTTAAATAATTAGTTGAATGTTAACTCAGTAATAGAGGTGTCATCGTGCTTCTTATAGGAGCAATTATTATATAATTCATCTCGCATTTTTTAAGTAGTTTTGCATGTGGTTATGCAAATACAAAAGAAAAAATTGACATACGATCTTTTCCCATATCCATGTACATTGTAATATTACATTGTTTTGCTCGTATCTATAGCTAAGTTTTGTGATACTTTGTGTCACGACCGGAGCCAGCCGCCACTCGAGCTACTTTGCGAACAGAGACGGATTCAGGATTGTAGTTATGTGGGTTCAATATTTACTATTTTTGGCATTAAACCCATTATATATATTTTTAAAATTATGGGTTCATATCTACTAGTATTTATTTTAATTTTAGTAGACTTCTGAGTTTTGCCCATAAATTTGTACTCCATATGAAAAGTACTGGGTTCAGATCCCGTTGTCCGAAGGCTGCATCAGCCCCTGTTTGCAAACTCTAACTTATTATCATTCTATGAAAGTAATCAGTAGTTTAAATACTAAGATAATCCATACGATACATATAACAGTTATATAAATAGATAAAATCTCATAACACGTCGATAATACGGAGTATGGACTAACCATCTCAGCCAAAATATCTACATGATATTGAAATGAGTTTAAATTTTATGTATTGATAATGTAAAAAATGTTTACCAAATCAAATTATTTATTAGATAATTATTTGGTAAATCTCTTAATTAACATCAATTAGTAATAAATAGTACTTAATCTTGCTATCACATGTCAAAATTTACTGATAGGTAATTATTTGGTGACAGAATCTGCATTCTTGAAAAGTTCTCTAAATTTGTTCACGTGAAGACGCTTCAGATGTTTTTTCCCCTTCTTTCTGCGTATTCCAAAGTTTTTTTTACCTCCTTTTGACTGTTTGTATTTCATCCTTTATGATCAGAGGAACTTTTACGTTATATTGCTTCAAAATTTATCACTTTGGATTTGTTAATATTCTTCAGTTACGTGATAAAAGATGATATTCTCCTTGTGATAATTGGCCTTGAGTTTAGGTTTGAGCTTCGAAGAATAGGAAAAACTCTGGTACGAAACGTTATTCATTTATTGGGTCTTATGAGGCACAAATCTCGGGATGACTCGATAGGCCATTTATAGTTTTACCCTTTATTTTTATGTTTTGAGACCTCGAATAACTCTGTTTAGCCTTTCTCGATTTGTGTGTGCAGTTTTTCCGGAAAGTTTTTATGAAAAAAAATGATGAAAATGTGAAATCGTGCCTTAAAACTCATTTCAGTTGACTACGGTTAACGTTTTATGTAAACGGACTAGGATCAGTGTTTTGACTGTCCAGGTGGATCCACATCGTGATTTGGGACTTGGGCGTACGCCCAGAATAGATTTCGGAAGTCTCTAGCTTGATCTAATGTAATTTATTGAAAACTAGTAATTTAAAAGTTTAAAGAATTTCTAAGTTTGACCGTAGGTTGATTTTGTTGCTACTTGATTTGGATTTCAGTTCCGAAATTTAGTATAGGTTCATTTCAATAATTATGACTTGTCTGCAAAATTTGGTGCAACACGGAGTTGGTTTGACGTAATTCGGACATCAGGTTGTAAAATTTCATGTTCTTGAGTTTCTTTGAAAATTTCAATTGTTTTGGTGTTCGATTCAAGGTATAGGTGTTATTTTGATATTTTAGTCTCGCGAGCAAGTTCGTATTATGTTATACACTTGTGTGCATGTTTGGTTAGGATCCCTAGGGGCTCGGATGAGTTTCAGATAGGCTACGGACCATTTGAACTTAGAGAAATTTTTGGTTTGGCTTCTGCTGTTATCTGGTGTGATCTTCTTCGCGATCGCGAAGAGTAATCTGGGCTGGGGAGGCTTTCCTTCATCGCGAACGCGTAGGGTTGAGTGACCTGGAAAGGGGGGCATCGCTGTTACTCTACGCAAACGCGAGCCCTGGCTCGCGAACGCGGAGTCCTGGGGAAGAAGCGTTTGCGAACGCGTGAGGAACCTCGCGAACGCGTAGGCCCTTCTGGCTGCTGTGCTTCGCGAATGCGTCAGGCCCTTCGTGAACGCGAAAAAGGCCTGACACCCAGTCTATTAAATATCCCAAAGACGGGATTTCACCCATTTTTCAGCATCTTTTCATTAGAGCTCGTCTAGAAGCCATTTTGAAGAGAAATTTAATCACCATTTCATAGGTTAGTGTACTTTAACTCGTTTTTTTCCATTTCTATCAACAGCCCTTGATTTCTAACCTTGATTTATGTTCATTCATTGTAGAAAATTAGGGATTTGGGTAGAGTTGGGGGGTTTAAAACAAATTGAAATTTAGTCCTCAAATTGAGGTCATATTTCGAAACTAATTATATAATTGGGCTCGGGGGTGAATGGGTAATTGGATTTTAGTTCGAATCTCGATTATTCACCAAGAAGGCCCGTGGTTCACTTTTGTTGACTTCTTAGGAAAAGTATAAAGATCTTAACTTTATGTATTGTAATTGATTTCCCTAGCATTGTTTGATATTATTGAGTCGATTTTGGTTAGATTCGATTGGTTTGGAGGCTGATTTTAGAGGAAAGTCCCTTGTTGAGCTCTGATTTGCTTGTGGAGCGAGGTAAGTGTTGGGTCTAACCTTGATTTGAGGGAATATGAACCCTTGAGCTATGTTTTATGTATATTACATGTGTAGCGGCGTATATGCGAGGTGACAAGTGTATATATGCCGTCAAAATAATTGTTTCCATGCTTTTCTCATATTCCATTAATTATTTGATCCCATGTCTTAACTGTTATATACTTTAATTGTGTCACGACCCTAACCCCGAACCCGGTCGTGATGGCGCTTCTCGTGAAGACAAGGCCATACAGTTAAACCCAATTCACCTTTTAAGCAGTTAATCAACACAAAAATAATCTAAACACGATTTAATAGTACTGAAATAGCGGAAATATCGATAACAATGCGGAAAATCCAACCCGACACAGCCCTAACCGGGGTGTCACAAGTCACGAGCATCTATGAGCCACAATACTGTCTACTAAAGTCATAAACTACTACAAATGTTTGTAAGGAAACAGAAATGATAGAGGAGTAGAGACACGGGGCTGCGGACGTCAACAGCTACCTCGTAATCTCCGAAAGGGCCCGCCTGGAACTAGAGGAAATCAGCACTCCGGAGCGGAACCAGCTATGCCTGAATCTGCACACAGGGTGCAGGGAGTAAAGTGAGTATCCAACTCAGTGAGTAACAATTATAAATAATGACTGAAAGCAAGAAAACACGTAAAGCATATGACAGTCTATAATGAAGCAGTAAAATCAATTAATTTCAGTAAAACCAGTAAAAATCAAGAAAATGCTCTTTATACCAGTAAACAGGTAGTTGACAGTTAATTATGATAACGTAAACAAATAGGAATTTGCCCCTCGGGCACAGTAACACCACATCTGCCCCTCGGGCAACATCTCACAACAGTAACAGCCCCTCGGGCTCAATCTCACATCACAATGGGTACCCGCGCTCACTGGGGCTGTGCAGACTCCTGGAGGGGCCCCTTACGGCCCAAGCGCAATAACAAGCCATCTCGTGGCATCAAATCTAGGCCCTCGGCCTCATATCAATCAAGCCACCTCGTGGCGTACATATCTCAGGCTCTCGGCCTCCAATTAGTACCAGTATCTCCTCACAATATAGGCCCTCGCCCTTACTCAGTCAAAAATCATCACAAGCCCCTCGGGCAATAGTAAAACAGTGTTTCTCAGCCCAAACATCATTTATAATATCATTTAAATCTCAAAACTGAGTAAAAACGGTTGAGTAGTAAAACAGTGGAATTTAACATGACTGAGTTCAAATAGTAAGTCAAAACACTGAGGAAATATCAAATAAAAGCCCGAAGGGTTCAAGTAGTTGGCACGAAGCCCAAATATGGTATTCAGCCCAATAAATGATGATGACAAATAGTTTTCAATCAAATACGCGATAAAATCATCAATCGGGACGTACCAAGTCCAAATCCCTAATAGTACACGGCCCCACGCTCGTCATCGAGCGTGTGCCTCACCTCCATATAGTACTACGATGCACAATCCGGGGTTTCAAATCCTCAGAACATTATTTACAATCATTACTCACCTCGAACCGGCTAAATCTCTAGCTCGCGACGCCTTTGACCCTCAAATCAGCCTCCACGCGCGTCAAATCTATCCAAAATCAGAACGAGGACGTCAAAATATGCTAAGGGAACAAAGCCCAAGCGAAAACAATCGAAAAATACCAAAAATCCCGAAATTAGCAAAACCCGAGCCCCGGGCCCTCTTCTCGAAACTCACAAATTTTTACACCAATAGGTTCCTTATCTCCCCACGAATTCATACATATCAAGAACACAAAAATCGGAGTCCAAATCACCCCTCAAATCCCTATTTAGAAGTCTCTTAAACTCAAGCCCTAATCCTCAATTTTTGCCTTTAAATTCCTTTAATTACAGCCCTAAATCCATGAAAATCTACCATAGAATTGTGTTTTAGGTCCAAAATTCCTTACCTTAACGAAGTCTCTTGATTTCTCTCTTCAGAATCGCCCCAAAAGCTCCAAGGTCGAAGGCAACAATGGTGAAATAACCCAAAATCGCGAAATGAAATAACATATATGGTCTGCCCAGGCCTTTCCGCATCTGCGGTCCAAAACCCGCTTCTGCGGTACCGCATATGCGGTCAACCCATCCGCTTATGCGGAATTTATTAAAGCCGGCCTCTGCCGCATCTACGATCCATCTACGGCATTTGCGGTTCCGCAGATGGGACTCCCGCAACCGCATTTGCGGATTCGTGACAATCCCCTCCAGAACCGCTTCTGCGGCCTCTCCCTCGCACATGCGGCGCCGCACCTGCGGCCCCCAAACTGCAGGTGCGA